CTCTCTCTCATTCTCTCTGTCTCAAATAAATAAATAAATAAATCTTAAAAAAAAAAAAAAGAATGGTGTGTGTATATATACACACAATGGACTATTACTCAGCCATCAAATAGAATGAAATCTTCCCATTTGAATGCTATTCATGGAACTAGAGGGTATTATGCTAAGTGAAATAAGTCAGTCAGAAAAAAACACATACCATTATGATTTCAGTCATATGTGGAATTTAAGAAAGAAAAGAGTGGTGCCTGGGTGGTTCAGTCAGTTAAGTGTCCAACTCTTAATTTCAGTTCAGGTCATGATCTCAGGATCGTGAGATTGAGCCCCAGGTCAGGCTCTGTGCTGGGCATGGAGCCTGCTTTGGATTCTGTCTCTCTTTCTCCCTCCCTCCCATCCGCCCCCACTTATGCTCTCTCTCTCTAAAAAAATAAAATAAAAAAAAAATTGTTTTAAAAGAAGCAAAACAAACAAGCAAAGGGAAAAAAAGAGAGAGGCAAATCAATAAAAAGACTCTTACCTACAGAGAACAAACTGATGGTGACCAGAGGGAAAGTGTGAGGGGAGATAGGGGAAATATGTGATGGGGATTAAGGAGTGCACTTATCATGATGAGCACTGGGTGTTGTATGTAAGTGTTGAATCACTAAGTTGTATACCTGAAACTAATATAACACTGTATGTTAACTACACTGGAATTAAAATAAAACTTTTTAAAAAATATTTTACTTATTTATTTGACAGAGAGAGAGAGACAGTGAGAGAGGGAACACAAGCAGGGGGAGTGGGAGAGGGAGAAGCAGGCTTCCCACCAAGCAGAGAGCCCGATCTGGGGCTCAATCCCAGGACCCCGGGATCATGACCCCAGATGCCTAATGACTGAGCCACCCAGGCATCCCTAAAATAAAACTTTAAAAAAATTGTTCAGATTGGGACACCCTGGAGACATTTAATTTCTCATTTAGTTACTGTCTGTTTTTAATAAAGACTTGGTTGTATTTGGCATGTCAACACTTCAGTTCCTTTAAAAGGGAAGAATTGGAGAACATCACCTAGCACAGATCTCATTTTAGACACAAGAAAGCAAAAGTCAAGTTTAAATGACTCTATGTTGTACAGAACAGGTTTGTGGCAGCCTGAGACAATGACCTTAGTTCAATAACATCACCTCTTCAGCCACACACTGTAAAGGGGAATTAGTTACAATGATGCATAGCCACCCCACTGTCTACCTTTTCCTTTGTGCCAAGAAAATATAAGTGAAATACTTAGGTAATGGCTGATTCCTGCAAACAGCATTTCATATCAACAATAAATATGGGCCTTCCCTTCAATCCCTCACCCTTTCACACTTAGTTAGAGAAGAAGGAGCCATCTCAGATAAAAACCCAGATCTTGACATGCAATGATTAGGAAAGAGGATGAGTGCAAAGATACGGAAATCCTACAGTCAGCAAACAAGGCAGGGTTTATCTAAGCTGGGGTAATATATCAGTGTCCAGATAGCTGTTGTTTTTTCCACTCTTTTTTTTTTTTTTCTTTTTTCCATTGAGTATCTTGTAAAGGTTGGGCAACAGCTAGGCAAGGCAAGCAGTGGTCAGAGCCTCAAAGACCACATGGTCTATAAAGGAAGATGGACAATAAAAGCTAAACTAACTAATATAAAGTTACTAGGTGATAGAAAAGCATAGTGGGCAATGCAGGAAATTCATGGGGTGTGGAAGCAATGTTCCCACATTGTGAGAAAACTCAAGGATGTTTTCTAGAGGAGAGTGTGAGAGCCAGAATTTCCAGAAAGAGATGCTGTGAAGCACAAGCATCAAAAATAAAAACCATAAGTGCTAAAAGAGCAGTGTGCACTAGGGCACTGAGTTCAGGCTGAGCTTGGTGGCTTCAAGAACATGAAATGCTGCAGAATTCCTGGAAGATGATGGGTGAGGGTGGAGGGTGGGGAATGAAATCAGAGAGGTATGCAGGAGTCAATCCTTATAGGACTACAATCCCATTGAAGAGTTTGGATTTTATTCTGGATGCAATGGACAAAAATTGAAGGGTCTCAAGAGAAAGGCATGATGAGACTTACACTTTCCAAAGATTATTCTAAGAGTGAGGAAAAAGTTGGAGGTGTAGCCATTGTAAATAGCCAACCTAAAATAAGCATTTCAGCTATATGTTTGTACATGTGCTTTATATAACCATGAAGGAATTAAACATGTGCACTAATACCCCATTTCTTTTGTTTAGAGCCTCCAACCAACCTTCTGCCAAGTCTTAGAGGCAATCACCAAAGAATTCTATGATTGTAGCTCTATGAGGTTTAAAATAAGATGTTAGCTCTTATGAGACAGATTCTCAGTCCCTTGTGAGACAGAGGTAAATCTCAGGGAAAAATGCTCTGATACACTGTGTGCTTACCGTTTTCTTTCCACATCTTCGTTTACTTTCTTGAGTTTCTTTTGATTGTTTCTCAGGCAACTAGATGGAAACACATAGAAAAGAGACTCTTATTTTCCTTCAAATATTTTCACCCCCTTTTCTTGTTTTCCTTACCATTAAGACAAAGCCTGCTTCTTCTTTTTGCCAAACTTCTCTGTCGTTTAGAACTGGCAGGCAGTCACAAATATAGAAGCAGTTCAAAAATTAACCACGGAGATCAGCTTACAATGGGTAGGAATGTCTATAGTCTGACCTCTCCAGAAGAGGTGGGAGGGGCCAAAAATGGAAAGAGATCCTAACAACAGGAAGGTGTGACTTCTCCAGTGAGCCCAGAGGAGACCAGCAGTTCCTGTGCATCCATCCCCATGGAATAGCTGCACCATTAACTTTGGCCCCATGAGCCAGAGCAAGAGTCTCCAAACCCTGCTGGGGTTTGGCCATCCATGCACATATAGAATACTATGATCCACACCTACATTCAGAGAAGTTTGTTGTGCATATTACTCTTGATATTTTCCCAACAATTATCATCTTCCTTATAAGAATCAAGCAAGCACTGAGTGATGGAATTGAGGTTAGAGAAACCAGAGGCTTTCATGGTTACACAATAGTGAAATACAGACCCAAACCCATGACTGAGTTAAGCAAATTTATCACTACACTGGTTATCCAAACAGTATTTCTTTGAATGGTCTTTTTCTTCTGTTATCACATCCCAACACTTGTCTATTCTCCTGCTTCTATGTAAGACTGCATGCAAAATATCCCAGACTATGAGCCTCACTCTTGCTTACTGTCAATATTTGGAGAAGACATTTCCTCAGTGTTGGTGTTTAAAAGTTCAAGAACACGGTTATATATTGACATATTGGGCCAGTAAGCAAAGAATAGAAGTTGTTAAATACAAAGTAAGTCAAATATGAGGAAGAAGGGCCCTTTTTGGAGATGAGTTCAGATGTAGAGATTTCTGGATAATATTCACAAATGATTAAATTTGGATGTAATGATTGTAAATCAGGCAAAATTTAATTTCAGTGTCCCATGTGTTTTCTTCTGTTTCCCTAGAGTCCAGTTTTCTCAATATTCCATTTTTCTAAACTGGCCAATGAAAAAAGAATCTGATAAAATAATTCTCTTTGATGTTATTGATTCACTGACTTTCCCTTCTAAGGGATGTTTGTATTTTATTTTTTTATTCTATTTTATTTTTTATTATGTTATGTTAATCACCATACATTACGTCATTAGTTTTTGATGTAGTGTTCCACGATTCATTGCGTATAACACCAAGTGCTCCATGCAGAATGTGCCCTTTAATACCTATCACCAGGCTGACCTACCCCCCTACCCCACTCCCCTTTAGAACCCTCAGTTTGTTTTTCAGAGTCCATAGTGTCTCATGGTTTGTCTCCCTGTCCGATTCCCCCCCTTCATTCTTCCACTCCTGCTATCTTCTTTTTTTTTTTTTAACATATAATGTATTATTTGTTTCAGAGATACAGGTCTGTGATTCAACAGTCTTACACAATTCACAACGCTCACCATGGCACATACCCTCCCCAATGGGATGTTTGTATTTTAAAGTTAAGAACAGGAACATAAAATCCTTACCATTAGCAGGAACCTAATTGGAATTCCATGTCATTATTACTGAACATAAATGGGCACTAAATTCTGCTGTATACAAAGTAATTTTTTTATCAGCATAATTCAGATAATGTCAGGTCATAGGTGATATACAAAGATTTATTGGCTGAAATAATATATCATCTTATACTCTATCATTAAGACAATAGACATTAAATGAATCTTAAAAATGTATCTTGATCAAAGTGTTGCGATCATGAGTGATTGTTCCATACTTCCTGGCTTTTTTTTCAATTCTTTTTCTAACTCCCCACATATTTGGAATTAATTAAGACATTATAACTCCACAAAGGAAATCTAAATGCAAAAAATCAACAGTTTACATTCTATTTCTTTATCAAGCAATAAAATTAAAAATCAACAATGAAATACCTAAAAATGTATGTCTAGACATTAAGTAATATAATAAGTAATCTTTATTTTAAAGATGAGAACATAAAGGAAATTTCCTAAAACACTAATAAAATGATAGTGAAAGCCACAGAAGACAATTTCCAGGATATAGATAAAGGGAAATGTGAAGAAAATGAGTTGTTTTCATAAGAAAACACAAATGATTGAAAATGACAAAGTAAGCAGATATCTATCTACTTGGAAAAAAAGAAAAAGGAAACAAAGAAAGTTATGGGCAGAAATGAATGTGAGAACCAAATATTAGAAAAGAATAATATTGGCAAGATGGGCAAAAATCTGGCAGGATCATTTAAATAAAAAGAAAAGGGGAATAAAACTAACATCAAAACAAATTTCAGAGTAAGTACTACAGAGATAAAAAAACAAGTAGTATGAACAGCTATATAATAAACATGATGACTTAAAATGGATATCTGAGAAAAACAAAATGCAAAAATTGTCACTTGAATATCACCCATACCTCAAAATATTCTAGCCAACATGTTTCCATATAAAGTTTTACCAAATTTCATGTGACAAATATATCTTCTTATAAAAGATGTTCCAGAAATAGAAAAACAGAAAATGATTTCAAATCCATTTAATGAGATTAGAAGACTCTTCAGTCCAAAATTAAATAAATGGGAGAAAAGAATTACAGGTCTAATTTATGCATGAAAATAGATATGATAATCCTCAATAAAATATTAATTAACTAATACTAAAAGTTCAGTAAAAATAACACACACTTGACAATTGAGTGGGCTTTATCCCAGAAATTAAAGGATAGGTCATCAACAAAAAAACCTAGTCCCTGGGGTGCCTGGGTAGCTCAGTCCTTAAGCGTCTGCCTTCAGCTCAGGTCATGATCCCAGGGTCCTGGGATCCAGCCCCACATCGGGCTCCCTGCTCAGCGGGAAGCCTGCTTCTCCCTCTTTCACTCCCCCTGCTTGTGTTCCCTCTCTCACTGTGTCTCTCTCTGTCAAATAAATAAATAAAATCTTAAAAAAAAACAAAACCTAGTCCCATGATTTACCACCTTAGAGGTCTAAGAGAAAATTTACAAGTTTATCTTAATAGTTTCAAAAAAAATGCATTTGGTGATATCTAGTCCCATTAACAACAAAAATTAAACAATAAAACTTATTATAAGATGAAACTTCCTTATTGTGATAAGGTCAATATACCAAAAACATACAGCAAACTTAATGGAACAAATCAGGAAAAAAAAAATCTAAGATCATTTACAAGACAAGGACACCCAAGAACATTGATAGTTTTAAACATAATAATGACATAAAACAAGAAAAAAGGTACTAGTTGTAAGATGAAAAAGGAGAGAAAAATCTTTAACTTTATAGATGCTATATTAACTATGTACAAAGCCCAGTAAAATTAACAAAACATTAAAAGAAATGAGAAGGTCAGCAAGGCTGGTAGATACACAGTAATCTTACAAAATTTAGTAGCATTTCAACAATAGCAGGCTAGAAAATAAAACACTTCATAGACTGACTATTGTAAGTGGCTTCTAGAAATCAACCTAACAGTGCAAGAAAGACAAAAATTATCAACTCTACCAAAGTGCATGAGGAGAGACTTGAATAAATGCCATATGAATAATTGTTTTTATTGAATAATGTATTTGCATAAACATAGCATTTTTCCCTCAAATTAATCTGTATAGTCAGTGTCACCCCAATCAAAATTCAAATTTTACTTTTGATAAAATCAACAAATTCAGTGTTAAATAAATGTGGGAAGAGAAAGTCTTCAAAGAGCTAAATCCGTTTTGAAACAAAGAACAAAGAAGGCATGTCCTGGAAACTGTTAACAGGCAATGTCAACGTCCATTCCACATTCTTTCTGGTCAGAGGGGAAAGCAACATCTAGCTACCTTTCTAGGACTCACTGGCAGTCGCTATTCAGGCTGTCAATTAGGTGCTGTCCAAAGTGCCCAGAGGCCTTTTGTGTCTCTTCCTCTGACAATCAGGCTCAGAGGTGGGAAGTTTTCAGCATCAACATTCTGGTGTCCAATCTCCAACCTCACAGACATTGCTGGTGGCAAATTCTTGAATGTGGAATCACTCAAAAAGCCTCCTCGGGGGGCGCCTGGGTGGCTCAGTCGGTTAAGCGACTGCCTTCAGCTCAGGTCATGATCCTGGAGTCCCGGGATCGAGTCCCGCATCAGGCTCCCTGCTCGGCAGGGAGTCTGCTTCTCCCTCTGACCCTCCCCCCTCTCATGTGCTTGCTGTCTCTCATTCTCTCTCTCTCAAATAAATAAATAAAATCTTTAAAAAAAAAAAAACCTCCCTCGGCAGCAAAACTCCATGGATCAATTCTGTAGGGTCAGGGTATCTTTACAAGAGCCCAGCCTCAAACCCACACCTTCAGCCATTCCAATGATTTTGTAAGCCCCTAATTCTTTATATTGAAACCCATCTTATTTAAAAAAAAAAAATCTGAAATGGTTTGTATCTCCTGTGCCAAGCCTCTATGATGTTATAGAAGATGACAACACACCAGATACCAGATGATGCTACAAAGTCAAAATAATAAAAACAGTATGCTGCTAGTAAAGACAAACAAGAACTAAGTCAATATAAAGAAATTAAGTAGAAAGGAACAGATCTATCTATATGTAGAAACTTGATATACAATAAAGAAGTAACCATAATTCAATGGGAAAAGAGTGAATGAAGTTGAAGTTGCAAAATCTGACTCGCTATTTGGAGAGAAAAAAAAGCAAACCCCTACTTCATGCTTTATTCACTGGGGAATAAAGATCTAAATAAGAAAGTCAGCCAGAGAAAATTTAGAGAAATAGCTTTGTCACATAACAGTGGAAGAAAACATAGGAGCCTTCACAAGAGAATGAAGACCCAAAGAATCCCATAGATGAGCAACAGTTAGAATGTTGCATCGCATCCCCTTAATCTCCTCTGAAAACCACGAAAAGTTCCTGGGCACAGCATGGGCTCACTTTTAAGATGGAAAGG